AAAATTATATGATCTTAGATAGATAGATAGATGCTTTATTGTCTTCGGATCATAGGTATGATATAAGACTCGTCAGACATATCTCTATAAGTACATTATTACCTACAAAATTCAAGAATATATTTAAGTATAAATACATACATTTATTGAAAAGCAGCGGTTAAAATGGAAAGAAACACAGTTAGTCGAAAAAGGTCAAAGGACGCATGTGCGCACGGATGAAAACATACACTAAACAAGCCAGATACAATAATAAACGGAACAAGGTGTAAAAGAAGAAAGTACAATAATAGAACGCTAAATATATAGTAGATATATATACAGGGTGACTTCGAAGTTGAGTCATTTATTTTAACAGTGAGTAGATCTGATCAAAAGAAATGTTTTTTTTTCCTTTACCATTTTTCTGGTAAAATTAAAGTAACAAAGTTATAGCCCTTTGGAAGTTTGAGTACCGCCCTGTCTAAAAATAATATTATGTGCTCGTGTTTGGCGACTACGGATATAATCCGCCTTATCGGTTCATCGCATCGGAAACAAAAAAGCGAAAGAATTTGGAACGATGTTTTTACAATTATTTCATTCAGTTGTACACAGTCAGTGAGTGAATATGGTGTCTGTTGCGTGGCTCAAACGAAATAAAAAATGGCACATGTTTATGCGGATCGGTTTCCCAATCGAGTGCAACCAACCCCTCGTGCCTTTGTTAATGTAGTACAACGGGCTCGTGAATCAGGAGACTTAAGACCTCACATGGGGACTGCATGCCAGTGCTCCAAGACCTTACGATCAAATACAGGTCCGCACTGAAATACTTGTCGGGAGGATACTTTATAAAACAAACATTTTTTTTTATTTTTTTTTTATTTTTACACACATATTTTGGTTTATCTTCCTTCTACAATCATTATCTGAAAATTAATGACTCATCTTCAAAGTATATATACAACCACAGTTTTCTATTTAATTTTAGGTGCATTACTCTTACCCTGAAAGACACTCAGCTACTGAGTAGTAGCATCTTTCTATGAACAGGTTCCTCAGCTCTTTCTTGAACCTATTTGGGCATCTAATATCTTTTAGTAGTGATGACAACTTAATGAATACCTGTGTGTGCGATAGCCTAATGACGATGCAGAATATGAACCGAGGACATCTCTTCTACCCTACAGCGTGCAAACATGGAATGCTATCAAGAACCTTAACCTGCTTATGTTCAGTGACAATGCCTATAGCTCTCTTTTCTGTTATAAGCAAGGTTATGGAGTGGTCATAGCTCCGACATTGTTTTTCTTACATATTAACGACCTTCTTTTCTGTATGATCAATCCGATTCACAGCTTTGCTTATGATAGAACTTCACAGAGTGACAAGCCGATTAATGCTTCCGAAACACAGTACTGTACCTTGACTAACAAGAAGCACCCTAACGCTCACCCGAGTTCTACCAAAGAGCTGTTCATTCCACCTAGCCTCGAGTACTGCTCCCATGTTTGGGGAGTTTACGTCCCGAATACATTACACATGCTTGATGCTGCTCAGAGGAAGTCTGTTTAACTGATCGGTAACTCTTCTCCAACGGACAGTCTCGGAACCCTTTCGCACCGACAAGCCGTCAGCGATCTAGCTCTCTTCTACAGCTACACTCCTCAGAGCTCTCCCTCATGATTCCGCCTCACGATGTGCCTGCCAGGCAAACCCGCTTGACTCCGGCCTCCCATCCTAACCGTCTCGAACCTCGTATATCCAGAACCGGCCGATACGACCGCTCCTTTCCCTTAGGATATCGAGATTATGGAGAAATCTACCTAAATAGGCTTTACCCAGTTTTACTAATCTGAGGCAGTTCAAAAGTCGGATAAAAAAAGTTTCTTTATATCCTCATATATGGTATTTAGGCTTATGCATTTGCAGCTGCTTCGCTATAAAAAAGCAGTTTTCTCCAGGTGACCAAATCAGACAAATTGCAGTCTTCCAGAACAGGTCAAGAGATTGAGAGATTGAATTTGTACTAAACTAATCTGCACCTCTCCAAATAACGAATCACTCAAGTATTCTGTTCCACAGATCGAGACAATCTACTTTAAGCTATTTTGTAGTGATGTGACCGTGCCACGGAATCCATAAAAACTCACACATGTCTCATCTCGCAGCTAGAGGTAATTAGGATTATCTCTGTGCTTCAGGAAGCTGGGCGAATTTCCCAACAGTCATCAAAGCCTATAAATCTTCTAAGAGAAAGTTAGTCGCAACCTAACTTCGGACACGCTATGCATCCTGGTGTCTGGTAACGTGATATGAGGATAATATTTCATCTCTGATATTAAGAAAACTGGAGAAAAAGTAATTGGTCTGGAACACCGGGTCTCTTGTCAGCTACAATGTTAGTTTAACTAATTTAGAAAATGAAATAACATCAATGTCAGTAATTGAAACATGAAGCCACTATATATTTTAGATGGCACTTCATGATATAATGGTTTTCCGTATTATAATCTTCCAACCATTTTTGATGTGTTATGAATGCTTCTTTGCAGATAATGAGCCACTCAATTACTTTTCTGGACAATGACAGAATATTTCAAAGATTCACTATACGGAATAGATGTGCAAGATTCTAAAATGAGTCCTTACAAAATCTCACTTGGTGATGCCTGCTTTAAACATATGTATATTTCTTCGGTAAGCCAAGTCTTCCTTCTAATTAATTGTAAATTCTAGATGTTCACAGGAAAATATAAGATGTACAATCTCGAGGTAGTAATTTTCAAATGGAACGACTATGAAGGCTATACAGACTGGTTCAAATTCGACACTCACCGTTGGGATTTCAGAAACTGTAAGAGATACGAAGTCGCTTAAGTGAAGGTAAAGTTACGTATTTAGGTAATCAAGTAAACAGTTTTGAAATTACTTCCGGAGAGAGATGAAAAAAAACGATTGTCCAAAAATCGTTATAGTCTCTTCCTGACTTTATTTGTAGTGAGATTTCAAAACAAATTGCACGTTAACATTTCCACTTTTTCTCCTCTACAAAATGGCTTAATTAGAATTTCAATATGACGTTTCGTCTCTTTTTTTTATATCGAAACAGCCGCGCATGCGGAAGCCTAAATGCCGGAACACCGCGGCTGCTATGATGATCCCAAAGAAATTTTGTTAATACGATTTTTGAACTGCATAAGCTTAGTAGAACTGGGAAAAGCTTCCTCCCGTAGATTGTTCCACAATCTAGACACCCTCGGGACAAAGGAGCGGTCGTATCGGCCAGTTCTGGATGTACGAAGCTTGACACGGTTAGGATGGGACGCCGAAGTCAGGCGGGTCTGTCTGGCAGGCACATCGCGCGGCGGCATCATGGAAGAGAGCTCTGAGGAGCAAAGCTCGTTGGTGTAGCGATAGAAAAGACTCCAAATGTGTGAGCAATACTCGAGGCTAGGCCTTATCTGGGCCTTGTATAGAGTGAGAAGGTCATGCGGAGAAAAGTACTTCTTAGCCCTAAACAAATAGCCTAGCTTTTTCCCAGCAGCTGCAGCTATTGAATAGATGTGTTCATGCCAGATCAGGTTCTCGGTGATCTGGACTCCGACCAGCCGAAATGAATGGCTCTTTGGTAGAACTCGACCGTCCATCGAAACTGTATGAGCGCTAGGACGCTTTTTGTTCGTCAAAGTACAGTACTGTGTTTTGGAAGCATTGAACTGTACAAGATTGTTGCGTCCCCAAGCAGTGATAGCCTCCAGGTCTCTTGTCAGAGAAGAAGGCGTCGCTAGTCTTCTTTTTTCCAGCTCAGTGGCAGAGATCGGCTTGTCACTCTGAATTCCTGCATGTAGAGTGCTGTCATCAGCGAAGCTGTGGATAGGGTTGATCGTGCAGGAAAGGAGGTCGTTGATATGTAAGAGAAACAGTGTTGGAGCCAAGACCGATCCCTGGGGAACACCCGCGTTGACGTTGTGGGATGAAGAGGAGAATCCGTCAATTACGACGGATATCTTGCGGCCAGAGATAAAGTCAGCCACCCATCTGCAAAGCTTTTCTGGGAGGCCGTAGGATGGAAGTTTGCTTAAGAGGGCAGCGTGCCACAGCTGATCGAACGCTTTCGTGATGTCAAGAGCAACGACATGAGCCTCACCATGAGACTGGATGAGTTTACTCCACAGTTGCGTGACGTAAGCTAGGAGGTGCCCTGTGGATCGTTGGTGCCTGAAACCGTACTGCCTGTCGCTAATCAAGCTGTGACGTTCGAGGTAGTCCAGAAGCTCGCGATTTATGCACCTCTCCATCACTTTACTTATAACAGAAAGCAGAGCTATAGGCCTGTAGTTGTAAGGGTCGGTCTTAGATCCTTTTTTTGGGATGGGCTGTACATGAGCAAATTTCCAGTTTTCTGGGAAGGTGCCGGATTCATAAGATATCTGGAAGAGACGCGAAAGAGCTGGAGCAAGCTCCGCTGCACATCTCTTCAGTACAATGGCAGGAATCAAGTCCGAACCAGAAGCTTTGTTGATGTCGAGCGACAAGAGCACTCATCTTACGGTGTTATGCCTGAATGTTACCTCCCGCATAGTGTGGGGAACCCTTTGAATTGACGGCACTTGGGCGTTGGTGGGGACGTCCATGGTGGAGTTGGCAGCAAAGATCTTGGCTAGCACTTCCGCCTTGGCCTTTGAGTCGGGTGTCCTCCAGCATCAACTTTATTTTTTTTATTGACGCTATATTGGATTTTTACACATGTATATAGAATTCTGATTTCAGTACATTGTCATTGCCAAAGGCGAAGACGAAGATGACATAATTAGAATTTCCCTTTTCATCAACTTCATTTTTTCTTATAGACGCCGTGTTGGACCTTTGTGCAGGTGAATAGAGTTTTTAATTCTGGTTTCCAAAATGTACAATATGTATGTCACACATTGACATTACCAAACCCTAGTTATTTTTTTATACCGAAGCAGCCGCGCAGGCAGAAGCCTAAAAGCCGGGACACCGCGGCTGCTATTCTAGTTATTCCAGAAAAGCATGAAGTGCCTTGGTAAATGCAAAACAATAGCAAACATCGACTTCATTTTTACAAAAGACAGATCACTATTATTGTTTTTCAACCTCTCCTCTTCTCGTTCTTTCTTCTTTTTATGTTGTTTATCTAACGAATCTTCGTGGGTTTCCTTACGTTTTTCCAATTTCTTGCTCTGTTTCTCCACTTCTGTTTTCAATCTTCGATATTTTTCTGTACGGTACACCATCAACCATGTTAATCCTTCTCCAAGCAAAGCTGTGCAGATTGAAATGAACACAATCAGTAATGTATCAGCCCACATCTTTCTATTTTCAAAATTGTCCTCCTTGCTAAAGCAATCTTTATTTTCAGATATCCTTTGTGTCTTATACCAGACCAAACCTCGAATTATACGTGGCAACATAGTTTGGGAGACCGACGAGAAAAGACATAAGGCAAGCAGTGAAAAATCTACAGGGGAGAGTCAGGCTTTGAACATCTACCATGATTCACCTCTGCTTATTTAGTATTACCATCACCATCAATAAAATTTGCATTTTGTGGTCACTTTTCACCATACCTTTTTATTTCCTTATAATTTTTGCCCAACAACAAATTCATAGCCAACTAAGGTAATACATCACTGAATTTAGGACCGAAAAGTCCATCTAAATCTACAAAATTCCGATATAGTGTCCATATGAAAAAACGAAGTTGATGGAAGTCCAAGGAAGAAAAGTCGATTCCAAAATTTGAGTACGCCATCTTGTAGAGGACTTTTCCTGTTACTTCTACCAATGACAATATGCAATTTATTTTGAAATCCCATCTTAAATAAGGCCAGGAAGAAATAAAAGTGGTTTTGGGATAAATCTGGTATACCAAACAAATCACTAGATGAGAATTTCAAGGCCTACCTGGGAACTTCTGCTTTTTGGAAATAACTAAGGTTTGGCAATGTCAATGCTGATGATATATACATTTTTCGAACCAGAATTGAAAACTCTATTCACCTGTGTAAAAATCCAATTATGGCATCCATGAGAAAGAATAAAGTTGAGCTGGATGGCAAGAGACGTAGGGAAGAGAAAGTAGCAATGTTAATGTGCAATTGATTTTAAGACCCCGCAACAAATAGTCAGCAAACAATTAAAACGATTTTAGCAAAACCCGATTTTTTCCGTTTTTGTAGTACTTTCTAAGCGGCATTTTGTTGATTACCTAAATAGAGGCAAACTATTGAAGGGACTTCTACAGTTTCCGAGATCCCAGTGGTGAGGGTCGAATTTGAAACACCCTGTATAAGAGGTTAAACTGCATAAGTAAAAATACGTAATCATTATTACAGTCTCGAGCTGTATTGGAAAATATTTGATTCATATCTATCAATGAACAGAATGCAGAGTAGGTCAAGTTTGGGTGAAAAAAACGGAGCTTTTCGCTTTTTAAATACCTTCACGTATTCACGTTGTTAATTTTTTGTGATTATGTGATTTAAACATCAGCATTGGAAACTTGCTATTTGTTAGTTTAAACCTACATATTTTCTTAGAAAGCATCAACTCCACTGGTAGATTTATGGTGGAAGCTCCAGTTATTAGGAAATACTGATGTTGCTATTGGTCTTTGATACCTTATACCTGCCGCCTGTCGACCACCATGTTTGGATGTCAAAGTTGACATTGCTTGGACCTTTGCCGTAGATTATATGCTTTCCTTTTATGTCGTTGAGAAATTCTGAGAATACGAAACCTTAGGAGGAACAATTACGAGAGGGTTTGAAGTGCGATCTACTTCAGAATAAACAACTTTGCTTAAAAACAAAATTGAGTCTGTTTTTACTGCAAACTTACTTGCAACATGGCTGAAACGATGGTTGCTGTAATTGCACTTCCAAATACAGCGTCTGGTTAAGAACCTTGGACAATATGTTTCATTTAGCTATAGAGCGCTGCTCTTCTTTTTTTATATGAAAGAAGTCGTGCAGGCAGAAGCCTAAACATCAGGGCACGGGGGCTGCTATGAGGCGTCTGAAGAGACTTAGTTAATCTGGTTTTTGGACTGCCTAAGGTTAGAAGAACTCCTCAGGTAGATTGTTCCACTCTGTGTCGATATCCTAGGTACCAAGGAACGGTCGCATCGACCAGTTGTTGATGTACGAAGTTCGACATCGTTAGGATGAGAGGCCGAAGTCAGGCTGGTTTGGCTGGAACGTCGCGCGAGGACAGCTCTGAGGAGCAAAGCCCGTTGGTGTAGCGGTGGAAGAGAGCTAGATCGCCGTCCGCTCGTCGGTGCGAAAGAGTCCCGAGACTGTCAGCTAGAGGACAGTAATCGATCAGTCGGGCAGACTTCCTCTGAACAACATCCAGCATGGATAATGTTGTCGGGCGGCAGCACTCCAAACATGTGAGCAGTACTCTAGACGAAGGAGGAAGTCTTAGTGACTGTCTACAAAGGCTTTCATGGTGCCACAATATTAACGAGGTTGTTCCGCGGGAATCAGAGCAAATTGTTTCCTGGATAATCTATCTTAGTAGGTAAATTGGAGCAAAAAGAAGTGACTTCTTCTCTGCCGCAAGACCTAGGGGCTTACGAACAGCTTTAGAGAAAGTGGTGGAAATGAGAGATTGTCTCAACTACTTAAAATATTTGCTCTATTCAAACTCCAAATAAGGCTTTGGTACCGTGTCTACGCCTGACGAGCCGTTACGTTGATTTACCTTAAAGCAAAGTATAGAGAGTGAAACAGCAAGCTGTCTGTTGGAACTGTATTCCAGTTCGCACTCAATAGCCGGGTCACCACTAGTAATATAGCTTTCGTCGATCCGACCACAGACGGTCCATTTATGATCAGTTGTTTTCTGCTCTTCGGCAACTCATTAGCGTAGTCTAGGCGAGCAGACCGTATCTTCAATGCTGCCATAATCGCCGGCGTGTGGCGGCGACAGTGGCCATCCCAACTAACAATTATCACTCCTATTAGAGTTGCAAGAATGATTATACAGTATTCATTACACAGCATTGTATACTGTAAGAACATTGACAAAACCCTCTTAGAACAGCTATACAAGCGGAATGGGCACACCTAATGACACTTCAGTCATTTACGAGGTTGTATAAGGGCTGCAGGTAACAGTTATACAACAAAAGTGTAATCCTCTTGCAGCCGCTATAGGACATTTGCGTCAGTGCAAGATTCAGTTTTTGTCAACTATACAACTATTCTGTTACGTGATACTATATAATACTATATAATACTTTATTGCAACCAAAATATTTCTTATGTATTGTATAGACGAAGTGAAGAATATATAACTGAAACATTACAGTCATTTTGTTTACTTACATATCGGCCATTGTGAATTTCATACACAGGTATGTGATTAACTTCTACACTGTGATATAGGCCGATTGAATTACTTGCGCAGCAAATTTTATTGTGATTATCGGGCAAAGTAGTTACGCAATTTCTATGGGCTTCGTATTTGATTCATATTTTAATAATGACCAAAGGATGTCTAGATTTTTAAGATGGAAAACTGAACTTATCTGCGTTAAACCTTCAACAAATCCCATATTTAGACACAATTACACTAATGTTTATTACTTTATATCTGTAATTTCGAACTGAAACATAATTATTTAATACTAAATAGAGAAATAAATGTTTGCCCGATATGGCGGGTGGTTATGTATAATCATCGTCCATGTTGTCTTTGGTTTATTAGAATCTTTTGGTGTTATCTGCAGGTGTTATACAACAATTTGACAAATGTCTGAAATGAAATACCGTCAGAGTTCAATGATTTACCCAGAATTTGTTCCAGATCTATATCTTCTGTTTGAACAGTTGATAAAACCTTTTGAACCAATATGCATGCGTTGTTTGTCTTAAAACATTGGTTATGGCATTTTAACAAAAATATGGGATTGACAGCAGAAAGTTAGGTTATGGCGAAGTTGTATACCAACATATCTAGCCTATGTACAGCCTTTAACAGTTACTAAACAACAGCAATTGGGAGCAATTTGTTGGCTAAAGTAGTAAATTGCACAGCAAAACAGCAAGGCTCGGGTTTGTTTTATAAACGTTACAGTGGATGCCACAACACATCCATTTTGACTAACGTGCAAATATGCCGTATAAATAGTTGTATAAACGTTTATGCAACAGTTAAAAATTTGCCCTATAAGGTTTTGGATAACTATGCTATAAGAATATCTTAAACACCTCATTTTAGAGCAAATATGTTGCAGAAAGTAAATTTGCATTCCACACAACATTAAGCCAGCATTTTGGTGTTCAGGCAACAACAATAGAGAGCTTTTATGGCTGAACGGTTCTTTTACCAAAAGCTTATACCACTACTTTGCTAGTTGGGATGTGGCTGTCGAATTTGAACTGGGATACCGTTTTCAAGAGACAACTTGCTGTTTCACTCTCACAGTTGTCGATTCTGGTAATAGATGGCACATTGAGCTGCCTAATTCTTATAAGCCTTATATACTGGATTTATTTATTTATTTATTTCCAACAGGTGAAACCCAATTACATGAAACGCTGAAAAAAATAGCAATTAAAGAGACATGGTTCTTGGACTTAAATCTATAGTATCACACATTCTAAATAAGATTGGATGATCTATAACAGTTAATAATCGTTGCACAACTGTCACTGTAAATATCACACGATTCAGTAACACTGTTCATGACGCAGCACATGAAATTAATTGGCGATTTTGTCATAACATTTGTACGGCCAGCTTGACAATAGAATGCCATTTGTTGTCGACTCCCTAGCCTTGGAACGCGGAAACATATTTTTTCAAGTAAATTTTGACAGTCAATTTTGTTGTGAATGAGGCCATACAAAAACGACAAAGCAAATATGTTTCGTCTTGTTGACAGTGAATCCAAATTGAAAGACTCTAATAGGGCACTATGGTCACAACCTCTTTCTGGATAAGAACCTGTGCATTTAAGGTGAAAATACTTTAAAGCTTTACGTTGAATGGCCTCAAGGATCACGACAGAATTTTGGTATATAGGAGACCAGATCAGAGTTGCATACTCCAACTTGCTCCTGACAAAAGTAAAAAATAAAGTTGTTAATGTATCAACATTGGAGAAACCCTTCCAGTTTCTGATACAGAAACCAAGTAGTCGAGAGCTTGGTATCAAATATGACTCCAAGGTCTCTATAAGAGGTGCATCTGTCTATAACCTGACCATTGATGTTATAATTATCATAAATTAAATAGTTCACTTTTCTTGTATAAGTCATAACTTTAGATTTCGAAACATTCAGACTGAGATAGTTTC